GGACTCCACATAAGTGTACACTGAAGCAGCTCTCTGTCTCTCTCTCTCCCTGCCCAGACCACGCCAACTTTACGACCTTCATCCATATCCAGAAGGGACTCCACTGACACATAAGTGAACACTGAAGCAGCTCTCTCTCTCTCTCTCTCTCTCTCTCTCTCTCTCTCTCTCTCTCTCTCTCTCTCTCTCTGTGTGTGTGTGTATGTGTGTGTGTGTGTGTGTGTGTGTGCGCGCGCGTCTGTATCGTGAAAAACGAGAACACTCCCAACCATAAAGTGCCAGCCACACCAAGTCACACACACACACACACCCCTCGCAACAGCCCACACCCAAACATGAGATTGCCGGCAAACTCCGCAGAACCTCTAGCAATAACAAACAGAATCATACAGTGCAACCTTCACAAAGAATTTAGGTTGCCATCAAAAGAAACCGACGGTTGAGTCAATGCTAGACTACAGGCCTTCTCCTTGGCTGAGGATCGTTTTACATCCCTCTCTTTTACTATCTTAGCCCGATCAGTAAGTGGCGACAAAAAGCAGATGTTTTTCTCACTCCCTGCGCTGCTGACGAACCTGGTGCAAGCAGAAGGGGGAGACAGACCAGACATGGCAGAGAATCATGATGCGCACAGGAAAACAAATAAACAAAAAAAAAAGGGACAAAGACACCATGCGACCATGGGCAATAGCAACCGGCTGATGGACACAGATATGGACGACACTCTCTGCAGCACTAAAAATGCCTGAACAACACAATAACATCATACATCAACCGTCAAGTTTCTGACACCTCACAGTATCTTGGGAGTCCTGCCATGTCAGCGGCGCACAAGGACAGGCAGCAAGTAGTTAGTTTGAAGCTCAAGGAATCCAACCAGCCGCAATGCCTTTTCCTCTCTCTTTCTGCACTCACATGGTGACCCGCTGGTACACTCAGACGCCATTCACACATTTCAAACAGCTTGGGTCGATCTTCACACTCCTGCAATACCTTTCTCACTCTTCCTGGGCTCCCACAGCACCCCGATGGTACACACACATCCTCATCAGTTGCCAATACCAGTGTCATCTCACAAATCCAAGCCCAAGAGTCGCAGTGTATAGAGAACAACAAGATCGTGGAACTCAATTACCCAATTGCAAATAACCTGCACCCTCACACTCCTGTGATTGCTCTTCTCTCCTTTCTCTTCTCTTCACACAGCTGCTAGCTGCTTCCTGTGCCAGCACTACCCCATTCGATTACATTGCATTTCACAATTCTTCAGAGTCTCCACTTCTCCGCCTAGACGACCGACGTTCCACAAATAACAGGCCCGCTCCAGGAGCCCAATGTTCCATTTTTCATACTATCATTGATAAGTTCAATAACATAATAATCGCCATCACGTATAACACCCATCTACATTCCTCCGAGTCCTAATAAATAATGAAAACCCTTCACATAACCCACCGTCTGCTCAGCATGATCATGTCACAACGGACCAATTTGCCCCAACCACATCTGCCTCTGAGTCGTCTCTGACACATTGCGCAAACCTTCTAAACTGTAAGCAGCTGAATTTCTGCCACATCCCCCAGAACTGCCGGCTTTTATGTATATCATGCTCCTTGTGTGAGAACAGATACGTACCTTTCTCGACTTCACGAGTTTAGCATGGCACCAATGTACACGTGTTTAGCATGGCACCAATGTACACGTATATGATTGACCTTTCCCAAGCCACCATTCATTCATATCAGTTGTGTATGCCTAGTGCCGGCCAGGCTTCTATTAGCCGAATGTACTTCTCTCTCTCTCTCTTTCCGAAATTACCATATATTTGGGCGAATGGCGACCACAAGGCCAAGTCAAGACGGATACAAAGTCAACTCAATCCCAAAGCACCACACAGCTTTCATGCTGTGCAAGATGAATGCTTCATCTTGAAACCATCCGATAACATTCCATCTCGGCGATTGCTTGAGCTGCAAACGCAATTGTCCAATTCCTCAAACGGAGAGCACCGCATCCTCGACAAACCATGGAACCCCTGCCACTTCTTGCTAGCCATTCGCCGACAACAAAAGGAAAAAAAACAGCTCTCTGTTGATGACAAAGAATTCAAGTCATTCCACCAAAAGTCCGTCAGCTCTGTGCTGATGACTAACAATTCGAGTTATTCCACCAAAAATCAGTTCACCTACATGCTGTGCTGCCCCACACAACCACAACTCGACGACACCATGTTAGTTTACGCCGCTTCACACCCCGACTTACTTCCTCCCTCTCTCCATCCCTTCCTTTTGTGAACATTTAGCGAGTGTCATAGAGGCTGTGATAACAGCTCAGCAGAGTCCCTGCCACGACCAGCACCAATATCCTTGACGAGTTGCAAAGCAGTCTCATTCGTTCTGAACAGAGCCAGGTTCCTGTACATCCGAAAAGTTCCCAGCCAAGACATGTGATGGGGTGCAGAGAGTACTTTCTTAGTTCGTTGCCTTCCTACAGGAACCTTCCTGAAGCAGCCATGAGCACCGGCCAAGACCACAGATGTCTGTAGCGGCGTACTCCACTTTAGTACCAGTCGCATGCCCCTGCAGACGGGCCATCGCCTGCTGATCAACCACAGACCTACATAATCACACCCTGTATCCGCAATGCACCCTGCACCATCCCACCACGAAAGCCAATCTTCTTCTGATATCTACTAAGGACTATACACCTCTTCTTTGTTCTCCACCTCCACACGACACCCATGATACATGTCGTTAGTACCTCACGTCAATCCAATCAAAGTCAACCTCCTTCAAACATCTAGGATAGACTATACACCTATATTTTCTCCGTTCTCCCTTGAACAACTCCCCCCTCCCCCTCTCCCCCACAACCCCAAATTCCCATCCAATCCCCTCCTCTATCTCCATCCTCACCCCCTTCTCACATCACTTGTTCATTTTTATAATGTTCGCTATGGTCAATCTGTCGTCACCAGTTCTGGAAGTGACTTGACCCAACAGCTAAAAAAGTACAAGAACCGAACAAATTTTCCACCACCACACCGCTGGCAGTTACCCTCTGGAGCACTCCCGACCAAGGGGCCAGCTAGTTCCCACTCATCACCTTGTTGCATCCCATTCTGCAGAGAACAATGCACATGCAAACTTCCAAATGAACATGCCACTCACCAGCAAAATGCTTCATGCTTCGCTCCAGGAACTTCGCGCACAGGTCCGCGCGCAGCAAATCCACTGAAGCAAGTCTCACTGTGATGACAGCAGATGTGCACTTCGTTCTGGGGAAATCAACAGAACCAATCGGCAGTCGGTTTGTATAGAACAGCAGTTGAGCGGAAGCGTTCGGTTGGTAGACAACACCATTTGTGTGGAAGAGATGCCAAATGCCGTAGAAACTGTTGCGCGTAATATCCAACTTCTCTGCTAAAATAATCATGTAGGCGACAGAGAACAAGGCCATGCTAAGCGCAGGCCACACTTCTGAAACATGTATGCTAGACGAGCAAATGAGAAATTGCTCCATCCTAACCTTAATCTCTCCTAAGATCTCTACCATAAAGACAGAAAAAAATTGCCCCGTACTTGCTAATTGCCCCTCTTCCCCCACCCCTTCCGCATGGTGCTAAAAACCATTTTTCTTTTTCTCTTCTCTGCATGTCCCCCCTCATCTTCTGCATGTGCAGGAGGATACGCTTCTCCCAGGCTGAAGGCTTTCCCAGAAAGCAACAGGAATCTATAGCATCCACGTATATACATGTCTTCATGGCTTATAGCATTATGTATTTATATATAGATATAGATAGATAGTCAGATAGAGGCAGTGTGTGTATATGTGTGTTTTTTTAAGATCTTCACCACAACTGCCCCTGTTCCACCAGATGAGTAAATCCAAAATCGAAGCAGATTTACCTCTATTGCAGACAATCATGCCATTTGAGTGTGCGTGCACGTATATGAGTGAGTGTGTGTGTGTGTGTGTGTGTGTGTGTGTGTGTGTGTGTGTGTGTGTGTGAGAGAGAGAGAGAGAGAGAGA